CTGCTACCCATCAAAATGTATGGTCACAACTAGATCCATGGCTTCTCACCATAATGCTGCCAACCCTCAGACTAACCCCCCCCAATCCAAACAACCCACCATAATATTTCATCGAGCTTACCAACAGTGTTAACCGCATGGCTGAGCAAAACCAAGCCCTGATTAATGCTCAACTCAAAGAAACCTTTCTATGCCCCCTCCACCACCTCCAGGTATTTCCCCCAACCAAGAACGAGCCCCAAGCCATACTATCCCTCAGCCTAATCCACCCAGCTGGGAAGGCTTGCAACCCCCTCCCCCGGGTATAAACCTGCCACCCCAAAGCCCACAACCATCGATCCCGGCACCAACCCCTCAAGGGAAGGCCAACAGCGTCCAGCCCCCGCTCCCCTCCGGTAGTGACAACATCCCTCTCTGGAACGCAGAACTCCGAGCCATGAAGCTCCAACTCCAAGTGGTCATGCAGAACATACAACGTAAACCATCTACCACAACCAACTCCCCGTTTGTTGCCTCCATCAGAGGCAAACCTCTCCCTCCTAAGTTCAAAATGCCCACCATCGACTCTTTCGACGGTACAACAGACCCAGTCGATCACTTGGAGACCTACAGAACCCTCATGATCCTCCATGCATTCCCCAACGAGATCATGTGTCGGGCTTTCCCTGTAACACAAAAGGGGTCGGCTCGACTTTGGTTTAGTCAACTCTCAGCAGACTCCGTCTCCACTTTCCAGCACCTCAGTGACTCCTTCCTCAGCCATTTCATAGGAGCCCAACACCAGCGACGTCCAGCAACCCAACTTCTCAATATCCGTCAGACCGAATGGGGAGTTGCTGCGTAGTTTCGTTACCCGCTTTAACACCGAAGCCTTGCAGGTAGCGAAAAACGATGACAAAGTCATCCTTACGACTTTCATGGCCGGCCTACAGTCATCTGATTTCTTTTTCTCCCTCTAAAAAAACCCCCCGACCTTCATGGTTGCCCTACTCTCCAAAGCCCAAAAATATATGAACGTAGAAGATTCCCTAGCCGCTCGCCAAGACCTTACAACAAAAAACCCGACCTCCCGAGAAAAGCGAAAAGACTTAGAAGCCAGAAACACCCAGTATAATAACCAAACACTTTATTATACCGACTGACCCCCCCGAGCCGACCGGTTGGCACCAGCCTGACCGCCTGATCGGTTCGAGCGGTACACACCCCTTAATTCCTCTATGGTACAAGTCCTCAATCAGATCCACCGGGATTACCCCTTCAAATGACCCCAACCATCACGAACCCCTTCCAATCGGAAAGACCAGTCCAAATATTGCCATTTTCACAAAGACCACGGCCATAATACCGATGACTGTGTTAACCTCAAAGATCAGGTCGAGACCTTAATACGTCAGGGACGTCTTAGCCGGTTCACGGATACGCTTTCTTAGCAGAGGCAAAGGACTGAGCCCATTAAAAACAACCGCCGACGCACCCCTCCCAGGCAGCCAGCCCAACCTAACCAAGGCCATGATCGCCCTCCACAGCAACCTCGGGCACAAGGTAATCCCGCCCCACCTGTTGGAGAAATCAGAGTTATTTTCAGTGGGCTTGTGTGCGGAGGACCATCCCGCTCGGCTCAGCGGGCAGAACTCAAGAAAATAAGGCAAGGCTCAAACAAAGAAGTTGCCACATTGGATCGACCCTCCAAACACCCCAGGCAGTGGACCGAGCACATCACCTTTACGGACGCCGACTGTACAGGCATCCGTTATCCTCATGACGACCCTCTCGTCATTTCCGCCCTCCTCTCCAATTACAAGGTCAGACGGGTTTTCATCGACAACGACAGTTCTTCAGACATCACCTTCCTCAATTGCTTCCGTCAACTCAAGATTGGGGAAGAAAGTCTGTCTCCCCTCCAAACCCCTTTGATCGGTTTCACTGGCGATCGGGTGACCTCCATCGGCTCTATCGATCTTCCTATCACAATTGGCGAGTACCCCAGGCAGACTACAAAGCTGCTCACCTTCCTCGTTGTCGACTGCCCCTCTGCTTACAACATCATCCTTGGCCGCACCGCCCTAAACGCCTTTCAAGCCATCACCTCCACCTTCCATCTTGCTGTCAAGTTCCCCACCGATCTGGGGGTCGGCACAGTTAGGGGAGAGCAGACTGTAGCCAGAGAATGCTATGTTGCCTCACTTAAAGAAGTTAAGCTTAAGGAAACCATGATCATTGAAGAACTTGACGTCAGGGACGAGGATGAGCTGGTCAGGGGGGAACCAGTGGAAGAGCTTATCGAGGTCTCCATCGACCCCACCAACCCGGCAAAAACTGCTAAGATTGACAGCCAACTGTCCCCCCAGGCCAATACCGACCTCACCGCCCTCCTGATTGAGCACAATGACATGTTTTCCTGGACTCACTCCGATATGCCGGGTATTGATCCCTCCTTCATCAGCCACCGTCTCAGTGTTGAGCCCCATTTCCAACCTATCCGCCAGAAGCAGCGCATTTTTCACCCAGAACGCAATAATCTTATTGCTTCTGAAGTGGACAAACTCCTTGAGGCACAGTTTATCACTAATGTGGACTATCCCAGATAGCTGTCGAATGTGGTTCTGGTTCATAAAAATAATGGTAAATGGCGACTCTGCGTCGACTACTCCGACCTTAACCGAGCTTGCTCCAAGGACAGCTACCCTCTTCCTCGCATAGATCTACTAGTCGACGCCACAGCCGGTCATCAAATGCTCAGTTTCATGGATGCCTTCTCTGGATACAACCAAATCAAATGCACGTGCCTAGTCCCTCGCGGTGTGTCAACATATTGTCCGCTTTGGGGTTGGGCCGCTGCGAGCTTGCCCCCTCACGGTTTTGTTCTTCCCCCTAGAAGAGGGGAAAAGGCTTGTTCTTTGAGAGAGGTGCTGGAACAGCTCAGCCGGCAGAGCAACATATTGTCCGCTTTGGGGTTGGGCCGCTTTTAGCTTACCCCCTCACGGTTTTGTTCCTGGGATGGGGCCGCTTTGAGCTTGCCCCCAGAAGGCCTGTTGACAGATAGAGGGGGCCAGTACGCTTATAAGGTAGACGAGGAGTCCCTTCCGAGTCGATGTGGGATAGACCCAACATAACCCCCCAGCGGACTGGGCCGCGAACAGCGGGAGAGTTTGCCGGACGCCCTCCTTTTAGCGCCAATGCACGTACCTGGTCCCTCGCAGTGTGTCAACATATTGTCCGCTTTGGGGTTGGGCCGCTGCGAGCTTGCCCCCTCATGGTTTTGTTCCTCCCCCTAGAAGAGGGGAAAAGGCCTGTTCTCTGGGAGAGGTGCTGGAACAGCTCAGCCGGCAGAGCAACATATTGTCCGCTTTGGGGTTGGGCCGCTTTGAGCTTATCCCCTCACGGTTTTGTTCCTGAGGTTGGGCCGCTTTGAGCTTGCCCCCATAAGGCCTGTTGACAGATGGAGGGAGCCAGTACGCTTATAAGGTAGACGAGGAGTCCCTCCCGAGTCGATGTGGGATAGACCCAACAAATTGTTTGTTGGTTATCCCTGTGGTGTTCATGATGCCTTTATAAAACAGCTTGTTGGATCTTTTAGTGGAATGTTAAGAACAAAGGTCTATCTTAAAATTCAGGAAAGAGCATAACTTCATTTAAAATTAATCTAAAACCTAGTTTTGTGGTTTTGTTGGTTAATCCATGGTCCTTCTGTTGTTTTTTAGTATAGATATATTAAGTACCAAAGAAGGAAAGAAAAAATAGTGCTGTGTTTTTTTCAATCAGATTGAATGGCCTTCTGATTTAAAACGTCCCATTGTAAGATTACTACTGTTCTAAATTCCCATTATCTAATGGACAGTCCATGTAGGCTGCCGACACTGCAATTTGGTGTATCATCAGTCACATGTGCATGGATTTTGGGGCATATATGATCCCCTGTACACTTCCCCATTGTATTTTATGATCCATTGAATATTCATTACTCATAGTACAGTTACAAGTCCTGGGAATATGCATCACTGGCCTTTAGCTCAAGTACTTTTGATTCTGCTCTCAACCTTGGTGGTTTCAAATCACCTTCTTGTCTTATTTAGCCACACATCCTTGGCTGTCAGGACAATAAAATGAGGATATATAGTAGCTGTCAAAATGAACCGTATATTATGTTCTCTGGTGTTCCGCACTTGCAGTAGCTGGAGAAATTATAGACCAATGAGAAGAATTACAAATTAGTGAATGTGTTGAATAGTTTATTGTATATGTTTAGATTTAGAATAGACAATTTGCTGAGTTGTTCTTATTTTGGCATAATCTCAGTTTTCTTTCCTATTTCTACCTACAGTGATGTTAGTGACTCCGATGATGAGGATTTAGATTCTTGCATCTCACTTGCACCTTCTTCTTTTCTTTTTTTTTTATTTATTTTTTATTTTTTGTTTTCTTTAGAATTATTGCATGTCTGTTGAGTCTTGACATTTATATAAGAGTATTGTGAATGATCAAGTATGATGAAGCAGGCACTTGTCATGATGCGCTCTCTCTCTCTCTCTTAATTGCTAGAATTTACGACAGAATCAGAATTCAGTCACATTCTTAATTCTGTTCGCAACCTAATATGAGCAGGGAGGTGTCTTTGTACCATTTTTTAGGATGTCTTTTACACTGTTGTTGCAGTTTTGGTCAAAAAGATGAATAGCGAAGATAATGCACACTACAATCAGTTGTTCTATTGGGTCATAATCAGTACCAATTATATGAGGGGCACTGCTTTCATAGGTATCTATGAAGGGAAAGTCATGGATCAGCATTACTGATTCACAACCTGTATTTGAGACGTGGTCTAAATGCCTCAACTTTTGTTCTTTGGATCTCCACCTTTTCATATTTTTTATTGCAATTTTACCCAAGTGAACTATTACTAAGGACTCAATTCTGTGGGCACCTTCTCTCTGAACTATTACTAAGGACACAATTCTGTGGGCACCTTCTCACCTTTATTTTTTTTTGGTTTATAGGCTATTTTGTTACAAATTGAACCATTAAATTTAATGATTTCCATTGATATCCAGTATGGAGTTCTGGCTTTAAATTTATGCATACCCCTTGACTGTGGTGCATTCTTGTTATCTTCACTTTGCTTATACATTTTTCAGGATTCAGACGCTTCTATTCGAAAAAGGGCCCTTGAACTTGTGTATCTTCTTGTAAATGAAAGCAACGTAAAGTCTCTGACAAAAGAGCTTATTGAATATCTAGAAGTAAGTGTTCAAGATTTCAAGGGAGATCTTACTGCCAAAATTTGCTCCATTGTTGAAAAGTAAGTAGTATAAATGTTTCATTTAAAATTTTGAACCTCTTTCTTGTTGAAACCTTGCAGAGTGGTATGAACTTATTTCTATAATGTAGTCTTAACATGTAATGTATGATTGGGCTTCGATCAAGTAGGACAAATTGCAACCTAAGATTTATCAATATGATTGGCTGAGAATCATAAGTAATTAAAGTATATTAGTTTTCTCGTCTAATAAATACATATATATATTTTTGAAGTTTAGGCTGCTTAATTTCTATTTTCTACTATAGGTTTTCCACGGAAAAAATTTGGTACATTGATCAGATGCTCAAGGTTCTCTCTGAGGTATGAATTAAAGTGCTGGTCATTCTAGTTATTGATTTTAGTTATTTCTATAATGTAATCTTAACATGTAATGTATGGTTGGGCTTCAATCATGGGTTATCTTCAGTGTTCACACTTAAATGCTCGTGATATATTATAATCGAGTGTATTTATGGCATCAATAAAATCTTTTTATATTTTATTCTCTTGTATTTTAGGGCCATACTTGTTTTCACATCATGGGTTCTGATGTGTAGTCAATTTCTCATAATCTCAAGATCTTCTTTGACTTTCTCCATATGCTCTTCACTGTGTAAAAAGGCAAAAAGATATCACTACTCAAAGGCAAAAAGATATCACTACTTTCAAGTGATATGCAGTTTCCTCTAGTTAACTCTGTTGAAAGCCTTACTTGAGGTGATGCTAAGATGCTTCACTTATTTATTATGAGATTTATTGACTTGTATTGTTTGAACAGATAAGTTAGAATAAAAATTAAATTTGTTTGATTCGCTAATTTTAACAAGTTAGAATTAAATAATTGGATAGGAATTAGAGCCTAATTCACATTAGTATAATTTAATATAGTGTAATTACAATTATGAGATGATGAGATATAATTTAATTAGAAATAATTGCATATAAATTAATTTAGGAAATAATATAAAAAGAAAATAAAGAATTAATTATAATTAAGTAATGTATGAGTTATACTCATCAACTAAGTGAATAAAAAAATAAAAAAGAGGTTAGTGGTCTTCTTCATCCCTTGAAACACACACACACACACTCAGTAAATTGGGTACTGAGTGCTTCTTATATATGGAAAACAATAGTAGCATATGTATGGTGCATTCATGTGATCTTGGTTAGTATTTGGACTTAATTAATGCTTTTTATATATGGAAAACTGATTAGCATTTGTACTGAGTGCTTTTCCATATGTACTTAATTAATGCTTCATATTTGTACTTGTGAAATAGTCCTCATTCACCAACAGTAAAAGATGTAATTATTAAATAAAAAACAGAGGCTAATATGTAATTAGGCAAATTGTAAGGAGATATTGTTAATTTACCCTTAAATTTATTTATCGAAATATGAGAAAATTAATCAGGAGCACTAGAAAAAGCTCACAAATATTAAGCATACTTTAGAATACGTTTGAAAGCCCTTTCAAGATAATTAGCACGGTTACAAGCCACAACTAAAACTGGAGCCTAATAATTCAGAAAAGAGGAATGCACATGTTGATCAATGTGTATCTGTTTTAGGCTCCTTCTCCTTATATCTATGGCATACACTTGACTATACTAGTTTCATATCCTTGTGTTGCTATTAAACCTTAAAATCCAATTATTCAGTGTGGAAATGTGTGTTTTGTTTCTTTCTTATCACTGGCTGACTATAGTAGTACACTTTTTAAAAAAATCTACAAAGAATAATTATGGGATATGCTATTTATATCCTCATTTTAGTCTTTTAGAGTCTAATTGTGTACTTCTGGAATTAGAATTTTATTTCTTTGTTAGATTTACATTACTTGCTTAACTTCTGCCTTAGATCAACCTGCCATGCTTTTAACATGGGCCAGGCTGCCTGTACCAATGATGTCCATACGGCATGTGGGATAGTTCTTGCATTTTCATGATTGATTTAGGCTAAAGCTATGATACATGGAAGGACAACATTGGGCATATGCATTAACAAACTACCTGTATAGCGATCCCGGGTTTACCCTTGTTGTACAGTGATCCGGACATGTGTCCGTAGATGTTGGTAGTTGTTTATTATCTTGTTTGCATCCTTTTTACTTTGTATATTGAGTTATAGGATGTGTTGAGAAGGTTTGTTACAGGTTGGTTGTGTTTGGGAGCCTAGTGTTGCTGCCCAGATTTTTGGACCTTCGCTCGAGCGAGGAGTTGGTCGCTCGAGCGAGAGTTGAGTTCAATTTCTGAATCGATCACCGATAAAGCTTTCAATTCGCAATTTGAAATCAAAACATGAACAGATCGTTCTGTAACAAACAGATAGAAATACAATTAAAACAACACACTCATGTAATCAATTTAGGATTTTATCTTAATCAATTACTTATCATGCTTAATCACAATTTAACGCTAATCAAAGGTGAGGGTTGTCACATTTTTAAAGCCATTTGGGAAGTTTAATTGAAAATTGATTCAGTTTACTAAAATTGTTTGTGATTGAATTGAGCCTTAATTGGAACTATTAATTATGTTCCTACATGTTAATTATGCGATTAAGTGTTATTGTTTAATCAAGTAATGTATGAGTTCTACTCATCAACCAAGTGAATAAATAAAATAAAATAAATAAAAAAGAGGTTAGTGGTCTTCTTCATCCCTTGAAACACACACACACACACTCAGTAAATTGGGTACTGAGTGCTTCTTATATATGGAAAACAATAGTAGCATATGTATGGTGCATTCATGTGATCTTGGTTAGTATTTGGACTTAATTAATGCTTTTTATATATGGAAAACTGATTAGTATTTGTACTAAGTGCTTTTCCATATGTACTTAATTAATGCTTCATATTTGTATTTGTGAAATAGCCCTCGTTCACCAACAGTAAAAGATGTAATTATTAAATAAAAAACAAAGGCTAATATGTAATTAGGCAAATTGTAAGGAGATATTGTTAATTTACCCTTAAATTTATTTATTGAAATATGAGAAAATTAATCAGGAGCACTAGAAAATGCTCACAAATATTAAGCATACTTTAGAATACATTTGAAAGCCCTTTCAAGATAATTAGCACGGTTACAAGCCACAACTAAAACTGGAGCCTAATAATTCAGAAAAGAGGGATGCACATGTTGATCAATGTGTATCTGTTTTAGGCTCCTTCTCCTTATATCTATGGCATACACTTGACTATACTAGTTTCATATCCTTGTGTTGCTATTAAACCTTAAAATCCAATTATTCAAAGTTTTTGGATGCATTTGTAATGCTGCTTGGTTCATGATTTATGGAATGCCAATAGAGAGTAGCACATATGGGTTTGTGGTATGCTTTTTTTAACTAATGTTTCAGTTATTATGGGTTCTTGAAGGACTAATATGTATATATTAATCTATGTTGTATGTACTCAGATTGAACATCAAATAGAGCAACTAGATTCAAGTGTTTGAATTTCCAGTTATTATTAGGATTACTTTTATAGCAACATCAAATAGAGCAACTAGATTCATATGTTGTATGTACTCAGATTGAACATAAAAAAATTTATTTCATATATATTTGAGTATGCAAAACTAATGATTAATTTGGAAAGATTACTTAATTTCGAGTTTTATATGTTTTTTTATAATTTTAAATTGGCCAATATTTAGTCAATACTAATGATTTTATTTTATTTTTTGTAGATGGTTTTTGACGTACAAATGTGGATATGACTTTTTTTGACAAGTACGGAAGGGCATTATTTTTATATCTCCGTCCGTATATATAGTGGTTCATACAAATTAGTTTTTTGGCGTGGTAAATATCCAACATTTGGCCCGATAGAAATTAGCATTGGACGTGGTACAAATTAGTTTTTTGGGCGGTACAGAATAAATTTTTGGTGTGGTATAGATTTCCTTTTGGATATTAAATTTGGTTAATCCTCTATTATGTGTGCAATTAAATTGTTGGGGTTGAATTATACTTGGTTCATATGGAATTTGTGTTACATTTAGAATTGGACGTTGAATATAAATATTTTGGATGGTTGGAAGTGAAATGTGTGCACGTTGTTGAATGGTTGATAATATATTCAGTATTGATGGATTATATTGTTTATACAAGGTACAGGTTGCACTAATAATGGATACAGGTGGTTCAGAAATTTAAAAAAAAATAAAAAATTAATATAGTATTTGGTGACTAAATATGTTAGTAGACAAAAATGTAAGCAAATGTTTTGGCGACAAATAATTTAGTAGCAAAAAATAACCAAATAGATTTTTGTGACCAAACCACATAGTAGCTAAAACAAATCAAAATGAGGGAAGTTTAATTACCGATTAAATATTTTAGTCACTAAAAACATGACATCGTTTGGCGACTAAAGTGTTTGGTCGCTAAATGTATGTATTCTATTAGCGACTAAAATTTTAGTCTCTAATAGTTTAATTTAGTTTTCTGTGAGAACTTTTGGCGACTAATATTTTAGTTGCCAAAAGATATCTTTGCCGACTAACCAAAGTTTAGTAACCAAAAGTTCAATTTCGGCGACCAATAATTTAGTCACCAAAAGATCACATTTCCCAACTAACCAAAGTTTAGTAGCAAAATGTTTAACTTTCGGCGACCAAAAATAGTTTAGTCGCCAATACTATCGCCGACAGGGTATAGGCGACGAACTTGGTGACAAAAAAATTTAGTTGCTAATTACATTTGGCGACCAAAAATGGGACTTTTGGTGACCAATATTTTGGTCGCCAAAATTGTCATTTCCTATAGTGAGTACATGCACCCCGATAGAAGGCAAGGTCGTGAGATATTGTTTGCAAATTATTTTGCGGCAAATCCAGTTTATTCACCTACAATATTTCGGAGACGTTTTCAAATGCGTCGTCCTTTGTATCTGCGAATTTTGAATGCAATCCAAGCACACAATTCATGTTTTGTTCAAAAACAAGATGCTGCTCATATTGTTGGATTATCTCCCCTACAAAAAATGACTTCAGTTATGAGAATATTGTCATATAAAGTGGCAGTAGATGCAGTTGATGATTATATACGTATTGGGGAAAGCACTGCAATTCAAAGTTTGCAATAATTTTGTAACTTAGTGATTGAAATCTTCGGACCAAGATATCTGAGATCTCCAACACCAACTGATATTGCTAGATTACTTGCTATTAGGGAGGTTCGGGGGTTTCCGGGTATGTTGGGAAGTTTAGATTGCATGCATTGGGAGTGGAAAATTGTCCAAAGGCATGGTAAGGTCAATATGTAGGCCATCAAAAAAAACCAACCATTATTCTTGAAGCAGTAACATCTTATGACTTATGGATTTGGTATGCATTTTTTGGAATGCCTAGCTCACACAATGACTTGAATGTGTTGGACCGATCGTCTTTGTTTTCTGATCTTGCTCAAGGTAAAGCTCCCCCTGTCCATTACACTATTAATGGACATAGTTATAATATGGATTATTACCTTGCTGATGGTATATACCCTTAATGGGCAACACTGGTTCAAACAATTTCTTCTCACCAAGGAGCAAAGAAACAACATTTTGCAATGATGCAAAAGTCTGCAAGGAAAGATGTAGAGCGGGCATTTGGAGTACTTCAATCTCGATTTGTAATTATATGTGGTGCTGTACGTTTTTGGGATCCGAAAATGCTTTGGAACATAATGAAAAGTTGCGTTATATTATATAATACGATTGTCCAAGATAAAAGGGAGGAGCACCTTGATTTCGATTATGAACTTTCATCAACCAACGCACTAATGCAACTTTCCTCTACTCCTAGCAATGACTTCCAATCATTCTTGTCTTGTCATTTAGATATTACAGATAAAGATGCATATCATGCCCTCCGTAATGATTTAATAGAACATATGTGGTATCTTCATGGTGAAAACTAAGGCCTCGTTTGGGAATAGGCTTTTTTAGTGACTTTTTGACTTTTTGGCTAAGATGTAATATAAAAAAAAAAACTAGTATGTTTGGGATGACTTTTTGACTTTTTATGAAAAGATGTGCAGAAAGTAAAGAAAAAAGAGAATCTTTGACTTTTTTGTATGGGTTGTTGGCTTTTTGATTTTTTTAGTGACTTTTTGACTTTTTGGCTAAAAAAGTCACTTGCCAAATGAGGTCTAAACTCACCACATCGACGCGAACATGTAATTTTGTTTATAGTTTTGGAATGGAAGGTTGTCTTGTTTGTACTCTTCATAATTTTATCAATATTAACCAAGTAGTCGAGAAGTTCTGTTATCATGTTCTGTTGTGATGATCCAATCTATAATATTGAGAATTGTTCAGTGTTCAATTCATAATTTATAAATGTTGTCTGCTTAGATATATCCACATAAATTTAATTACCAAAGAATTACAATTTATAATAACCATGACTTAATCAGTTACAAAATAATGAGAAAATGCTTACTAATGTTGTTGGAAGTCTTATATTTAAATATTAGACTTATATTTAAATATTGAAAGATTCATGAATTTTGGAAATTTATTTATTCACAATTCATATTTATTGATGTGGCATATGAATTTATTCAGTATACGAATTTATTGATGTGGCATACAAATTTATTCAGTACATATATGTATTGATGTGGAATTCATTTATCCATATATTTATTGATGTTGGTTGGCTTATTACTGATGATGTTGCCATTCATTTATTGATGTTGGTTGGCTTATTAGTGATGATGTTGACATTCATTTATTCAGTAGATAAATTCATTCAAACTACAGATGTGGCATACGAATTCAATGGCTCATCAAATGAGTCAATGCCTCATTTTACACACACCACCATCCATTGAATTCATTAAACCAATTTACCAACCACATTAATTCCCTCCACAACCTACCTTAATAATTCACCCTTTATATCAGCTCAAGATTGTAGATGAAACAAATTCACTTTATACAAACTCGGCATCACCAAATTCACTCTATTCACAGATTCACTCTATCTACAGATTCCCTTTATACAAACACATTCACTCTATTCCTTCCACCACCACCTTCAAATTAGGCATCACCAAATTATGTTCCCAAACACTACATATTGACTCTATACAAACTGTATATTGGAAGTGTGAATCCACAGAATCAGCAAGGCAAAGCATTTGAAGCAACAAGGCTAACATCAACAGGAACAACAAGCTAGCAGCAAAACAGAGTGAGTGTTGAACACAACCGGTTGGTCAACCAGCCCTGCACAATTTTATTTTTTTTTTCCATTTCAGTGTGCACTTCTGCACACCACATTTCAGTGAGCACAACAGCATGTTTTATTTGTTCAAGTTTAACCTTCTGAAGGGCATAACACCATGTTTTAATCAAACTACATTGATGTTTAACCTTGGAAATTCACTTCTCTCATATGAAACAGACAACTGGATTTTTTTTTTTTTCCATTTCAGTGTGCATTTCCTTGCACTTCTGCACACCACATTTCAGTGAGCATAACAGCATGTTTTATTTGTTGAAGTTTAACCTTCTGAAGAGCATAACATCATGTTTTAATCAAACTACATTAATGTTTAACCTTAGAAATTCACTTCTCTCATATGAAACAGACAACTGGATTTTTTTGTTTTTTTCCATTTCAGTGTGCATTTCCTTGCACTTCTGCACACCACATTTCAGTGAGCATAACACCATGTTTTATTTGTTGAAGTTTAACCTTCTGAAGAGCATAACACCATGTTTTAATCAAACTACATTAATGTTTAACCTTGGAAATTCACTTCTCTCATATGAAACAGACAACTGGATTTTTTTGTTTTTTTCCATTTCAGTGTGCATTTCCTTGCACTTCTGCACACCACATTTCAGTGAGCATAACACCATGTTTTATTTGTTGAAGTTTAACCTTCTGAAGAGCATAACATCATGTTTTAATCAAACTACATTAATGTTTAACCTTGGAAATTCACTTCTCTCATATGAAACAGACAACTGGATTTTTTTTTTTTTTTCCATTTCAGTGTGCATTTCCTTGCACTTCTGCACACCACATTTCAGTGAGCATAACACCATGTTTTATTTGTTGAAGTTTAACCTTCTGAAGAGCATAACACCATGTTTTAATCAAACTACATTAATGTTTAACCTTGGAAATTCACTTCTCTCATATGAAACAGACAACTGGATTTTTTTGTTTTTTTCCATTTCAGTGTGCATTTCCTTGCACTTCTGCACACCACATTTCAGTGAGCATAACACCATGTTTTATTTGTTGAAGTTTAACCTTCTGAAGAGCATAACATCATGTTTTAATCAAACTACATTAATGTTTAACCTTAGAAATTCACTTCTCTCATATGAAACAGACAACTGAATTGCATTAACAGACAAATGAATATAAGATCAAAAATGGAAATTTTAAAGTGATTTTTAAACTTTTGGTTTGTTATTCTCGTTGATATAAGATAATAATTATTTGATAAAAGCTCATAGTGAAAGTTAATTTTTCATGGTGAAAGCTCATTTCCATTTTACAGTAAAGTTTTGCCAGCTCTAATTCACCTTTCTGTCAATTCGTTGGGTACTCAGTTTGATACATTTGCCACTGCGCAGAACTCATTAATTCAACAATTTGGTGAGTTCTGTTTGGACATTGAAAGACGTAATGAAGTGGCAAACAATCGCATAGATAGGATTGAGCATCGCATAAATGACATATACCATCACTACTTCCCTCCTCCACCACCACCAGAGAATGACTGTTGATGTGTTTCACATTATGTATTTTCGTTGTTTTGTATTTTGTTATTTTAACAACCTTTTGTTGGGTCAATTTATTTTATAAATGTAGCAGTTCTGTCTTGTATAATATAGTAGCTTCATCTATCATATTATCTGATATAAAATCCTCTATTAGTTTTTCACTTCCATTGCCAATCAATACATCTGCACCATCTTTTGGAGCTTCAGGGATTCCATTTTAGTTGAATTTTATTAAGAAATTAAATAATGTACCAACCACAGAATTTTTTCACTTCCATTGCCAATCAATACATCTGCAGCATGTTTTTTTACTTCCATTGCCAATCAATAGCATGACCATGTTGTACCAAGCACAGAATGAAATCAATATAATTATATGTTATAAAAAAAAAGAATGAAT